GCACTATTTGTAACCCTTTCTCATATGTGCATCCGTTCCGTGGATCTTCGATTTCCTGTAGAATTTTTTTGTTCAAATTTCGAATTTTTTGATGAAAAATCAGCTGGTTTCAATTGTTATCATTTGCTTAATTTTCTACTTCTAGAATCGAATACACTACAAAGAATATGTTAAACCTCTTTTGCTTATTGCTTATCCCCACTGGTAAAATAATTACGAGACCCGATCGGGTTCCTGCTGTTAAGGTGACCTCAACACCTACTATACTTGTATGTAGAATACTGAGCTAGAAAATGGAGTTCATATGCTACGACTAAATCTGGATTGTCACGAATCTACAGTAATTCTAGAGAAATTTTGACATAGATTGCTACTGATCTATGAGGTAAGAATTGGAGTGGAAAATGAAACTCAGCTAATAATTTGAATAAAAAAAGTTCGAACACAGATCGGAGCTGCAAGGGACAGAATGAATATGCGCATTGTAAAAATGGTTTAAGAATGCTTCGAGGACATTTCCATGTATTTTTGAGTTTAGAATAGAAGTATAGAGCCCTGCTGGTTTTATTGAAAAAACAAAAATAAAAGAACATTTTGAGCATGAAGTGCCTACGTTGAAATGCTTTTGCTCGCACTAAATAAGTTTTAAAGTGTTTTAATCTTCAACATCTAATGGAATAAGGTCGGAAATCTATGTGGATTTGCACTTGTTCCTATGATTAAGTATGAGTATTTGGAGTGTCTTCCATTTTGAAAAAAAGCAGCAGTTTTTTTTTTTTGGAGATCTTGTAACATTTTTATGGCATGTACTTCCATGCATTCATGAACGTAAATAGGAATATAAAGTTCTGCTGGTTTATTTCCTTTTGAAGAAATGAAATTTTAACTAGAAGTTCTACGTGGAATGATTTTATTCACATCAAGGAAGTTTGAGAATAATAGGATTCGATATCAAAAAGCCAAAAATCATGGTTGATTTTTAAAAATCTGTGTATCACCTGTGTATTAGCAATGTAGATACGACTCCAAAAAATTGAATTTTTACCCTGAAACAAAATTAAGAAGTAGAAGCCTCTGAATTATGATACAGCCAAACTCCCATCCTGAAAATTTCCTCTCAAAATTACTCTGATTTAAAATTGGCGTCGGTGGGAGTCACTGGTACCTAAGGATATTGTGGGCTTTAGGATTATGGTATAGCCTGGGTGCTCGAACGTATGGTATAGCCCTTCTGAGCGAAAAATATGGTGGTTCAGTTGAAGGGTTTACGAGCACACAATCAGACTAGCGGGTTGCTGGTCTCGTAATAAAACTGATCGTCCCCTCAAAAATGTGATGACTTTAGGCTTACGGTACAGCCTGGGTGCTCGGACGTATGGTATGGCCCTTTTGAGCGAAAAACAAGGTGATTCAGTTGGAAGATTTATGAGCACAGAATCAGACTAGTGGATTGCTAGTCTCGTAACAAAACTGAGAAGCGGGGCTAATCGGCCTGCCTCCGATCCTTACAGCGAGGTTACCAACGGCAGTGGTTCTGGCAATAGCCAGAACAGATATGTTAAAGAGAGACTCTCTTCGGCTCCTGAATTGTAAATAGCGGAAATAACACGCTGATTTCAAAAATATATAAAATCTGATTGGAAATGTTTGACCGAGTTTTAGCATTCCGGCACTTCCGACGCGACATTACCTCTTCTATAGCAAACTGTCTTACCGGCTGACGTTGCTGTATATGTATGCTCCTCGTTATTTATACAGCATACTCAGACTTTGTTAAGGGCAGATTTATTAACTCCAAAACTCCTCCCATGGGTTTTACCCGAACCGAGAAGGATATTTAAATGGATATAATGACAGAAGTACACTTTCAGATACAAGTGGAATGCACAAATCCAGAGTTTTGTTTGAGTGTCTACAAGGAAGACAGTGAGAGCAACATATATTCAGCACTTTGTGCAAACAACACTTATCCTGAAGCTAGCTGTGAAGTAAGCCTAAGCATGAGGATGCCC